GGTGGTGTGTGGACAGGGAACTCAGGGGCTTAAGGGCCGGTGGGGGCGGCAGGTTGGCATTCATGGAGAAGGGCGAGGGCCCCGAGAGGTGCGGGGGGTGCTTGTGGGCCTGAGGTGCTGGCAGCTGGGGGATGGGTGTGGTGGGCGGGGGCTTGATGTGGGGCATGGCCAAGGGCGCTGGTGGCAGCGGCTGCTCCCGCGGAGGCTGCTGGGGTGGCAAGGCTGCCTGAGAGGCTGGGAGCTGCAGGGCGGTGTGAGGGTGCGCTGCTGCCGGGGAGGCCCCCAGAGAGGCCTGGCTCTGGGAGGCCTGCGGGGGGAGGCTGAAGGGCTGTGGGGGGCCTGGGTGCTGTAGCAGGGGCCCGGCCTGCAGGCTGTGAGGGCCAGGAGGGCCCTGACCATGCAGGGGGGCCTGGGTGTGAGGTGGTGCGGAGGCCTGGCCGGCCGGCCCGCTCAAAGGCTGCAGCGGAGGGTGGGGTGAGGGCAGCTGCTGGGGGTGCAGGGCAGGGGCCTGCTGGATGTGGGCGTGGGGAGGGGGCACCACTGGAGCCTGCGGCTGGTTAGGGGGCTGGGAGGCTGTGGGGGAGCCCTGTGGGGGGCCTGCAGTGGCAGAGGGCATGGGCCCTGGCGTGGGAAGCTGGGGCGTTGCCGGGGGCACCGTGGAGGCAGCTGGGGTGGCCCCACCGGATGCCTGCAAGGCTGGGGGCTGAGCCTGCAGCATCTGCTGCTGGGCTGATGAGTCCGAGTCACTCTCATTGTCCTGCGGGCTAGGGATGCTCGGGGATGTGCTGCGATTGTCCTGGTCGATGTCTTTGGGATCACTGCTGCCCTCATCATTGATGCTGCGGCTGTCTGAACTCTCTCCCTCGCCTTCAGACGGCGAGTTGGGCCGGCTGATCTCCTACAGCCAGAGAAGGGAGGCATGGAAGCCCGGAGGGCAGAGCCCCCTGCCCTGCTCAGCCAGTGCCTGGCACACCATCAAGGCTCACGCAGATGGTGCCTCAAGCTGGGCCCTGCGGAGTCCTGCCCTTACCCAGCCAGTGCCGAAGGGCCCTGTAGTCCCCTCTGGGAGAGAAGGCACTGTGAACTCCCAGGGACAATCCGGGCTGGGGCTTCTCAAAGAGCACCAGCTTTAGTCAGCAAGGCTCAGCCGCAAATCTCACCTGGGTTTTCGTCTTCTTGGAGCTGGTCCTGTCAGCCTCCTCCGTATCAGAGGCCACCTTCTCCCGCTGGCGCTTGGTGCTCTTAAGAGGGGATGTGGTTTCCTCCTTCACCTTCTGCAGTGAACGCCCACAAGGAGCAGTCAGGCCGAGGGAACATATCCTGTCGGCCTCAGTAGTGACATGATGTCTGTTTGTGGACACCTTGCTCCCCTATTCTGAGTTCCAGAAGCAAGAAAGCTCTAGAAGGAGCCAACTGGGACGGGAAGGAACATGTATCTGGGGATGGGGATCACAGTCCAGCCCTCCATGTATGTGGGTTTCACATCCTCAGGTTCAACCAACCGTGGATGGAAACTAACTGTGATGGTTATATCTCTAGATTTTTTTGTTCTTGTCATTATGCCATAAACAAGATAGTACAGCAACTTTTACATAGCATTTGCATTGTGTTAGGTATTAAAAGTAATCAAGAGATGATTTAAAGTATAGGGAGGATGTGAGTAGGTTATATGCAAATAATATGCCATTTCACATGAAGGACTTGAACATCATAAACTCTGGTGTCCTTGAGGGGTCCTGGAACCAATCCCCACTGAGGAACAACTGCACTTGGCTTTGGGGGAGGTAGCCCTTCCAACCACCTCCCTTGGGAGCTCGAGGAAGAGGTGGCCCCCGAGAGTCAGTGTTGGGAGCTCGGCTGGGTCTCCCTTCGCCATGCCGGTCTCCGGTCTGTAGCTAGGACAACGCTGGGAGAGGTCCCACGAATGGTATCTAAGGGGGCTGATCATCAACTCCAGCAACCCAGTTTTAAGGGGAGGGAGGGATCGCCTATGCCCCACCACCTGACCTTGGCCGACTTCTTCACTGTCTCTGCTTTGCTGTCATTGCTGGAGGTGCTGGCAGCACTGGGGGAGTTCCGGCCGCTGGAGCGGATGTCTTCGTTGATGGGCGAGGTGTGACCATCAGGGCTGGCTGGCTGCTTCTTCCGACCACTACGTAGTGTCGACATCTGCCCAAAGAACCGGAGTCTGGTGATGTCAGGTTCCTAGTCCCCAGGTAGGCCCCTCTGAACTCAGCCTGAAGAGCAGACAGGCTGGTAGTGACCAGCCTGCCAGAGAATCTCAGCCCTGACCTTCGCTGCCGGAGGTGAGTGTGGAGCTAAGGGAGTGTGGGGCGAGTGAGTGGGCACACACCAAGACAGTCAGTCTCAAACCCCAAACACTTATGCTGGGACTATCGGCTCAGACACACGGGGGCCATCTTTGGAGCACCTGACCCTGCTGATGCCACATAGCCGCCCTCTCTCCCAACCAAACCAAGTGCAAGTGGATTTAGTCTGATGGGAATGGGAAAAGACCCAGAGAGATGAAGCTAGGGACTCTGCGGCTCAGCTCCCCAGACTGCAGAGCACTTGAGTGTGTTTCTGCAAAGCAATGAAGGCTCAGCAGAGACCAGGGTTCAGGCCGGTTCACCTGTTCCTGCTGAGCCGGCAGAGGGCAGAGGGCAGAGGGAGCAGATGATGATCCCACCCTCCCACGAGGAGGAAGGAGGCCAGTGCTGGCAGGAAAGACCCTGTCAGTATTCTCAGCCCAAACCTGGGACACCCTTTTCCACAGTCCCGGCTCCATCTCCAACCTAGGAAACAAAGGCTCCTTATGGAAGGGGCTATGTGGTCAGTAGAAAAATATACCGGAAGTTTCTAAAACAGGACTGAACTTGAAAGAAAACAAATAAAAATAAGACCAGGAGAATCTGTAAGTTTAAAATAACTAGCAGTGACAAGCCCAAAGGCCGCAGGAAGCTCTGAGAGACCTGGGAGCCTGTGCTGAGCCAGAAACCAAGAGCTCTCGTAAAACTGAGCCTGGGATGCTGCCCCATAGGCTACCCCCCAACGGGCCACCCCCACAAAAGAGCAGAGGGCTCTTCCCAGTCCCACAGGTGGCCGTGCCTTTGGGCAGTGTATCTTCCCTTCAGGGCCTGCTTCTCTTCCTAGAAGAAAACCTCCAACTTCTTCTCCCTGGAGCGTCCCAGAAGGCCGGAAGTGGCCAGGAGCCCCGTGGACACGGGCACTCACCGAGCCCCGACTCCGCCGCGTCCTCATGCTATGCTTCCCGCTGAGGCCATCGTCTTCCTCCTTGACGGGCTTGAACATGAATGGCGGGGGATCAACAGGCTTCTCGATGGGCGGGAGCTCGCCGTACTTCTTGAAGTGGATGCGGCAGTCGGTGCAGAGCAGAATGTTCTCCCGGCCCCCGTGGTGCCAGTCTTTGGAGGCTGTGTAAGGGAGGGGGTGCAGGGGCACTGGTCTTGGAAACCACCCCTCCCTGAGGACATCTGGGCAGAGGGCCCTTCTGTGGGCTCTGCCCAAACATGGCGCCACCAAAACCACGCAGCTCTGGGCTTGGGCAGACACCAGTTACTCAGACAACTAAGGATCAGGGAGGGCTTCAGGAGTGCCACTGCCACCTCATCTCAGGGCACCCAAGAGTGGCAGCAAGCTCCTCAGGTGGGTGTGTCCTGCCTACCAGCAGTATTCCACTGACTGCTAAGTGGGGCAGTGAAATGAAGACTTCCGACCTTCTCAAGGAACCCCAAGCCCCATACCCATGTCCAATCAATTATTGCCGCTGACAGGCCTCCAGCTCCATGCTGGAATGTTCTGCACCTGAAGACCAGACCCCTGCCCCTACCCAGTCGTGCCAGGGTCACTTACTGGTGGTGAAGCAGTGGCGGCAGGCGTAACCCTTCAGCTCCTGCTCACTGTCCTCACTGTCGAAGTCATCTTCACTGGCTGAACTCAGGTCCACTGGCATGGCAGGCACATAGTGGGGTGGGAGAGACATCATCACACTCAGCCAAGACCTGGGGCCACCTGCAGCCACCAGCCTGCCCAGGTACTGAGCCACCAGTCAGCGTGGCTCTGCAGGCCGAGGTGGGAAAGCGCATGAAGGGCTACTCTGAACTGCTCAGGGCAGCCTCGTGTGTGAGGGGCAGTACGCAGAGGCTTGGTCTGTCAAAGTGTGGGGGGATGTCACACGTGAATCTGCGGGTGGCTGGCACTGATGCCCACAACTGGAGAATGTGAACCAGGAAGTGTACATCCACGCCGCCTTCCTAAGCACCCCGTCTCCACTGAGTGCCCCCTGACAGCCCTAGTAGGCTATTTCTGGTAGCAACACAGGCGACCCTCAGGTAGAGTGTCCTGGGCCAGGACAGAGCTGCGAGGCACTCTTGCTACACCCGTTTTTTAGGGGGTGAGAAGGCATGGGTTTCAGTATCACACTAGATCGTACATCATACTGGGACCAAGAAGAGGATCTTTATAAAGCAGGAGAAAAAGAAGAAAGTGCTCATCTGATCCTATTACCACCAAAGTGCAGTGAGAATTCCAACATTACCCACTGAGTGGAAAACCTTCCTAGCCGAGGCCAAGACTTCACATTTTGTAAAAACTTTGAATGGTGTTGAGTTTAGAAACATTTACATGTACTAATAATTACTAAGACTCTCCCCACCGAACCCCTGCCCCCAGCCCCCATCAGCGCTGTTGAGGCCAGGTTTCACACACATGCACACACGCATGCATCCCTCCCCCCACAATTCCCTGGGTTGTCAGCTCGGGGGACCCAGAGAGGACAGGCGCGTGTGGCTGCATGTGGACAGTCCTCCTCCACCCCTCACTGTGGTGCCAGGACCCCACTTACAGAATTCACTGGAGGGGGGCCGAGAGGGTGTGTTGACAGGTGTGGACGCAGTGCGAGTCTTAATTCTCCTGAACACGGCCTGCCTACGGTGCCTGCGGTGGGCCCGGGAGCTGGCTGCTTCGGGGGTCTTCTTCCAGTAGTAATAGAAGGTGATCAGCTCCCCCTGCAAGAGACAAGGGCTGGCTGTGGGAGAGGCACACAGAGGGCTGTGCTCTTCCCCATCCCCATCAGACCCTCCTGAGGCAGAGCAGAAAGCTGGGCATGAGGCGGAACCAAGGGCTGTCAGCACCTGGCGCCGGGGTGGAACCGGGCCTGCCTGCTTCGCCTGGTGGAGCATGATTTCCAGAGCCCCAGCACTTCTAAGCACAGGGGGTACATCCTCAACAACAGACAGAAAGGAGAAGACTCCTCTCCTCGGGGAGCCTACATTCCAGCTATGTGTGTGTGGTGTGTGTGTACGTTGGGAGTGTGTGTGCGTAACACAGGAGGTTTTCCTCCCAGCATTCCAGTGGAATCACACAGCGGGAGAAGGGAGTGCCTGGACAGTTAGCTCACCTGGAAACAGTTGAGCAACGGAAGTATAGTCAAGGCAGTGGGGGAACGAGGGCCACACGCAGGAAAACTACTCCAAACCTCTGGCCATATCAACCTGAAGGCCACACCTGCACAGGCTGGCAAAAAGTACCAAGGAAGAACTAGGCCTGACACAGAAAGACTAAGAGAAGACAGACCCACAGTGGTGCTGAGGCAGAGGTGAAACACCAAATGTCACAAGGTCAGCATTCATCTCATGGCCCAGGCACAAAGGGAGGCAAGCAAGACATCTTGGTGAAAATACAGCAAGGGCCACTTCTGAGAAAAGGGCCCTCTGTCACCCTAGCCCTCAAGGCATGTGGGCTCCCCCCACCATGATGTGTTCAGCAGACCCCAATGACTCAAGGCCCATTTCTTAAAACAAACACCCCAAGGTAAAGTCTCTACCTGGAATTAACAACGACAACAAAAAATAACAGCAGTGAGAGAGCCTGGGTCATACTGTTCTTCTCTAATTAAATTAACACCGGCCAAAGTCAATTAACTTGGCAGACTAGATCTGGGGAAGGCACCCCTGGGGGTACCTGCACCCCCACTCCGCCTCACCACTCAATCTTGTGAATGGAGAAGCCAAAAGAGAGAAGCCAAATGGGGTTTGGAAAGATAGTGCTGGAAGGACTGAAATAGACAACCTAAACAAAGAGGTGCAGCTGCCATGTGACAAACTCCTGCAACTGACAGAGCATCCAGTCAGACCAGGTTCCATCCAAAACACCCCCAGAGTTCCTGGCCTGAGAACACGGGGACAGGAGAAGCGGGCAGACTTCAGGTCAGGAAATGGCTTATGCAAGGCACAGAAGGCGTGCATGCTGAGTGCTTACTACACACAGCTAGACTTTATGCCTGGGCATTCTTCTCAGGGAACCACAGCTGCCATCAAAGCCTTCAAGGAGGGCAGGGATGCAGAAGAACCTCAGCCAGGCTTCCTGAAGCCTACAGCGAGCATCTCCTGGAGCTGGCGCTCTGCTCCAACCTTCCCGCACACTCATGGCTTAACAGAAAGCTGATGACTGCCAATGCTCATCACATGAAGCACAACCTAGGCCAGAGAGACTAGGGAGCTAGCCTCCAAGGACGAGCACACTCATGTCCCTTCCCCATGAGACGAAACCGAAAGATAAGGCAAAATGTGGATACTGCCCTCAGACTTTCTGACGTGTTTCTCCAACCCATGCTGGTGTCCAAATGTAGACTCCAATTGTCCCAGTGGTACCTGAAGCACCCTGAGTCCCGAGGTCATGCTCTGCAAACCTTCTGGCTCCTCACATCACTTCCCACCTTCCTGACTTGGAAATGCATTTATCTCCACTGGTCCTTGGGGGTTCTGGTTGGAGGGAACAAACTCATAAATCCTGCTGGGGGACTGAGAGATCTCTGCTGGCATAACACTGACCTGGCTCTGGCTTTCCTATGAGAAAACACGGTATAGAAGTCAAGGTGGGGCACAGTCACCCTCTCCAAGTTCTTTGCCAGAGTGGCATGCTTCAGTGGTCCCACAGGGCACTGATCCTGTGATGAATCACAGCCCAGTCCCAAAGCTTGAAAGAAGAATGACAGAAAAACTCCAAGTGGTTCCTTCCACCTCCTCCTTCACCTGAGTCATTTTAGGGGCCACTGAATGATAGAAGCCTGGGATGTAAGAGGGAATTCAAGACTACAAGGGGAACAAAAATGGCAGAAAAAAATCAGAGGGAAAGTACTATGGGGGTCTCCGCCAAGCCTCAGTTTTACTCGAAGGCAGCTGAAAGCAGTGACATGGACATTTCTAAACGGTATTGTCTATAGCGCAATATTGCTACACACAGCTACAAGCAGCAATTTCCATTCTCCAATGAATGTTTTGAAAGAGACTCGGAGGGTTTTAAAAGACAGCATAGCTTGCAGATTGAAAAAAGACTCCAACTCAAAAAAAAAAAAAGAAAGAAAAAAGGAGAAGCCAGAGTTCAGTGGGGCCAAGAAATTGGCCCAGCACCAGATGCCAGACAGAAAAAGGCTCAGAGGAAGCCTGGCAGGTACTTTCTGCCCTTGCTCCTGTCCCGTGGCCTTGGCCAGCACGTGAGGAAACAAAGACCCAAAAGAAAGGCAGCTAACATGAAAAGCAACATCAACGTTTTGTCAACATTTAAGTAATGGCTTTTAAACAAGAATAAGAGGTCCAGAACAGACTTCATCATCTGAGTGCCAGCGAGAAAATGATCAGGCAGGAAGGAACCTCTTCTACAGGTCTAAGCCCCAGTTGATGAGAAAATGAAAGAACATGAACTTGAAATTCAGGAAGGTGGAAGAGTGACTAGAACTCTCATATGCTGCTGATGGGAGTGTCAAACCACTTTGTAAAAGCTATTTGGCAGATGACAATCTACCATATGACACAGCAACCTCACTACTAGGTGTTGACTCAAAAAAAAAACAAGCTCACCAAAGACTTTCACACAAACATTCATATAACTTTTTTCTTAATAGCCCACACTGGAAACAGCCCAAATGCCCACCAATAGGAGAAAGGATACACGGATTCAGGTGTACCAGTTCACTGGAATACTACTTGGCAAGTAAGAGGAACTAACGCCTGATGCATGCACAAACATGGATGCATCTCAAAACACCATGTTCAATGAAAGCAGCCAGACACGAGGGTGCACGCTCTGTGACTCCATTCTAGAAAAGGCAAATCTATAATTATGAAAAGCAAACGAGTGGTGGTGGCCTAGAACCTGGCAGGTAGGTGACAGAAAACTGCCTGCAAAAGGACTCCCTATAAACATTCTGGTGTGATGGAAATGTTCTACAAATCAATGTGGCATTATATGCACGAATATATACAGTTGTCAAAACTTGTTGGACAGTACACTTAAAGTGGGTACATTTTTATGGTACATATACATACATGGCATGTGAACCAATTGCAAGTCAATAAGGTTGATTAAAAAACAACAAATCCAGGCCAGGTTTTATTAGCTGCCTCTCAACCACTGTAATGTCTACCAAGGGATTAAACACTGGAATGGAGCGAGTCTAGGAGGATTAGAAACAGCATACTGGTGTCTGCATGGGTGGCAAGGTCTTGAACACAAACAAAGAAACACAGAGGGGAAAGCTTTGCTTCTACAAATAGGGAGTGAAGCAGCTCGAGGCCTCACCAGGAACGAAGTCAATTGAACTTTAATCAAACATGCATAGTGTGTGCTGCCGAGACCCGCTGCACATAAATTCAGGGAACAAAAGCTGTTGCAGAAATCAATAGCTTACTGAAACATTAACACAGGCAATCATTGATCAAAAGGCCGCTCCACAAAGGCAGCCTTGCAAATTAGCTCCTGCTTTGCTTGCAAGCAAACACAGAGGTATCAACGCTGTCGACATGAATGGCCTCTAATGATCACTTTGTTCCCCACGCTCTCACCTCATCTCACAACAAGGGCTCACAGTCAACATACCTCGCATCTCAGTACTGTAATTGCACACAGCATGAGGAACTAACTGGTTTAGTGTCTGGGCAGAGCCAGGAAGAAAGGGGGATGGCACCTCCACAGTGTGGCAGGCTGCAGCTCTTGCCAAGACGAGTGCTCCCATCCACTGTCTATATTTAGCAGGTTCTCCTCTCCTTTTTCTCTGGGGAGCATGTGGGGGCTGGATTTTTCCCACAGGTCACAGGCAAAAAGCCATTGGCAATGATGGGAGTTTCACTCCCAGGCTTGAGTTCCTTGGCAGAGGTACCTCCCAGGCAACACGCTTAGCCAGGACCCGAGTACCACTAGTCCCTCTCGTTTCTCATCAAAAGAGAAGTGAGGGACTGGCATATGCAGAACAGAGAAGGGCAGCGGCAGGCTGGATGAGGCACAGCACAGCCTGGGTGAGGGGCCTCGAGGAGTGGGACGAGAGCAAAGGGCAGTGCCGGCTGACTCTGGCCACCCAGGGTGGGTGGCTCAGTGGTGGCTGCTGCTGTCACCAGAGGCCTGCTGGGCTAGGACTCTTCCTCCTCCTCCTCAGCTGCCACTTCACGGTGGCACCCTCACTCACACATAGCAAATAAACATCAGCACAGGCCTCATCAGAGCTCCCTCCGTTACCTGGGCAATGCGGGCTGAACTGCCCACCTTAGAAGCCGCCCATCCCCATGCCTGCCTGGGTAGCAATAGCCAGGCGACCTGTTCCAGGCGCCTGCATGTGCAGAGATGAGGCTGGGAACTGACGCACTACTGTGGGAGGACCTGCCTAGGGCCTCCTTCCTGTCTTCAAGCAGGTCAAGTCTTCTACACACACCCGGCGAGTTACAACACTGCCCACCAACACAACAGCTAACTTCCCACCAGCACTGCAATGCTAAGGGAAGAAAGCATATAACCTGACCTGCCCAAATCAAAAGACAAGTCTCTAAAGTAAGATAAGCTACGTGTCTTCTCTCTTAAGAAAATGTGGGGGAGTGCAGAACACACTCTTGCATTCTGAGCATCCACACTCCCCCCCGAGCCAGCGTGCCTGTCCCCAGGGCCAGGCCCGGGCTCTCATGCCTTGGCCCAGTCCAACTCCTCTGACAGGACCTCTAGGAGGCTCACGTGGAGGCAGGAA